TCAGTGCTGTCCTCTGAAGATGCCGGCCACAGAGACTGGCGAAACGTTAGGAAGAGCAACCTTCAGAACATGGCCGAAGAGCCCGAAAAACCCACAACAACCATTGGGTTTTTTGTTTGTTTGTTTTTTTAAAGTTGAAGCATTGATTTAAGCAACTTTATAGCTGGAAACCATTAAATGCTCTCTATGTCTCCGGAACCTAGGATGTCCCATTCCCCCTTTCAATCTACTGTTTTGGGGAATTTCCATGCTAATAGAAGGACTACAGGTCTCCGACAGATGATAGCACACAGCAGCCTTGCCTTCTTATTATAGTCAATGTTGTTGGTTCATGTGTGTCTGTTCTTCAGTCTCTCTGTGTGTCATTTCGTCCCATTCAGGGCCTGCAGGGTTTTAGAGGGCCACCCGGCCCAGCTGTAAGTAGTCTCTCTCAGATCTGGATTACTGGCTTGAGTTGTCTTCTTCTACTTGCTTGCTGTCTTTTTAGCGCAATAGGAGCAGCTCTGCCTTGGCTTTGTGTTGTAAGGGCAGCAAGGACCTAAAAAGGCTTGCTTGAGGGATTGCTCTGGGTCTCGCTAACACTCTGGATATTTGAATTGGATCTTTGCAGGGTTTCCCAGGCTTCCCCGGAGTTCTGGGCAGACCGGTAGGTGCTCCCATCCCTTCTTCCCTTCCTGTATTTCTCCCACTCTACTTTACATGTAGCAATTTGCTTCTTGCTGATACGGGTGATGGGTCTTTTCATCTTGCTATAGCACTTACTGTTATTGCTGTCAGAAGGAAAGCGGAGTCCTTGACACAGAGGCTCAAGTAGGAGTCAAAGGATTTCTAAAAAGCCTCTTACTGCTTTCTTTACTTGCCAAATAGGATCAGGATAGCAACACTTAGATTTAACATTTGTAAAGTGTTTTGGTATCCTAAGGGGAAAATCCTTCATCATCTCCTCCTCTTTCTTCTTCTTCTCCTTTTATTAGAATTTTCCAGAGACTAATGGAGTGCAATTTGAAACTTGGGAGTCCTCAGCAATTTTTTTAAAGAACTCACTATTCTTGTACATCTCATTATACCAACTGCCATCTTGAAATCTTTAACTTGGAGGGAGGGAGCTAAATTTCTCTCTAACCAAAGTTTTCTAAGTAGTATCCAATTTGTTAAAAAGATAAAATATAAGGGTTTGGGTGAATCCTGTCCATTTGAATCACCCCAGGGTTTGCAGAAATCAGCTTTGAAAGCAGAAGGTGTATCTTGTATATACTATACGGTATATAAACCTTGCTGCTGTGGAATATACGTTTATCTGTTAAAAAAACAAGCAGACAAACACACAAATATTACCAATTCTAAATTATGGCAACTCCAGAATGTACTGTTCTGATTTATGCAAATCACCATGAAGTGTTCTGCTAGTATTATCTATTCATGAGTGTGAATATGCCAAGGCCTAACAATGGTATGAAGAAAATCCAATGGCAAAAATGGCTGGTGGTCTGGTTTTGAGTTGTTGAGGAACTAAGAAAAGCTCAGATGTTGAATTATCAGTGGAAATCTCATCTGAAGTGAAGTAGCCTGACACATCTGTTTTACCTCTCTGTCAAGACTTCAGAAATAGCTGATTAGGGTTGCCGAGACAGGTCATCACCAGATCCAGCCTTAATTATGTGTCTCTTCATTCATACAGGGCAACCCAGGAGATCCTGGACCACCAGGCCCTCCTGTAAGTAAGAGTGGCATTTTTCTCAGTGATATGGTAACAGTTAAAATCCAGTTAGTTGACTGCAGATAAAAAAAATATGTGTTTCAAATGTCTGAGATGAGCACAAGTAGTGTAGTGCTTACCTAGTTACATAACAGCAAAGCCTTTTGTATTCTTCTCAGAACAGGAGACAACAAACCCACCTTTGCCAAATACAGAACAAAATGCATTTCACAGTAGACTTCTGATAAATACTATATTACCTTCTTCATTCTATATCATTGCCCTATCATATTCTCAAGACTGTAGGCCTAATCTTTCAAGACACTTCATAGGAGATTTTAAAAAGTCATCTCATTCCTAAAGATACATAGAATCAAGAGGAAAATTTTTTGAGATGAATTAAACAAGTATGTAAATAATGAATTAAATCAGGCTTCATCTATAAATAAAATTGTTTTGCTTTGGTTCACATTCAGGTTCATTTAGACTGTCCAGATTTCACTGTATATCTGCAGAAAGGTCCACAAATTTGTGATAGGAAACAAATTTGTGGTATAGAGTTTTTGAGTTAGTTCAGTTGCCATTGTCACTGTTGTTACTCTTTGAAATATCTGTCTTCTCTTTCCTTATAGGGTCCTGTTGGCCTTCCAGGAACACAAGGCCCTCCTGGAATAAAGGTAAGTCAGTATACACCAGGCATATATCCTAAGATGAACACACACACACACACACAAATTCAAAATGTGATGTGATTTTGGAACCTCCTTTCTCGCCAAACCCCTAGCATCTCGACATTTACATCCTCTTAGTTGTAGGATGAACAGGTTCATAACCATTCTGTGGAGAACTCTATTTCACAAAGACATCTTTGAATCTACATGTTTTCTAAATGTTTGGTACAGCAACTCTATTGTTCCGCCAGATGATTTGCCACATTCTGCTCTGCAGAAACTGAAGCAATTAGAATGTGTGTTTTTATCAGTTATTAAAACTAAGTGAGGATGGTTGTTTTTCCTTCCATATTTACAGGGAGATGCAGGAGAACCTGGCTCCAGCATCCGGGTAAGTATCTCTGACCTTCACTCTTCAGCGCACACATCCTGTTGTCTCAGAGTGTTGTGGTTTTATATCAAACATTTCAAACTGTTTGTTCATTATCAAAAATACTGACATGAGCAAAATGAGTGTTACATCTAGCATGTTACCTTGCTGGAGGGAGCAAGAAGTTACATATTGACCACGAACGATCATTACTTTTGGGAGGTCCAATGAAAAACGTTTTTAGTTATTTCCAAAGAACATTGTAGCTATTTTTAGATTGGATGCCATTCTTCTTATCAATCATAAAGTTGGGTTTGTTTGTTTTTTTAAGTAATGAAAAAGTAGTAATGGATTGAGTCGCCAAATAATACAGTTTTATGTAATATTGATAATGAATCATTGTGGGATTGGGGAGAGACTCTGCAAAGTGTAAAACATCTAATTACATTTTAAAGCAATGCTATTCCAAGCATTGTTCATTTATTTGGTGGGACCTTGCATTTTGGCAGGACATCTTCAGTGTCATGAAAGAAACCAGTGACTGTCGCTCTGGCTGGGTGTAGGTCAGCAGGACTCCTCAGTTTTTCCTTCTCTTCTTCTTAGGGTTTACCAGGCCCTCAAGGCAATGTTGGACTACCAGGACCACCAGGACCACCTGGAATTGCAGTGTGTATCCGCTTCTATCTCTTAAGCTTGGGAGTTGCTGAATAATGAAAGTTCTCAGTTTCTAATTCCTTCCTTTTACTGTATTTGTTTTTGTCTCTTTTCAGGGTCCACAGGGCCCCCCGGGATTACCAGGACAAGTGGTAAGTTTTCTTGTAGTCTCCCCTCACTTTCTGCACTCTGCTCCACTTTAGGGACTCACACGTCCCTCTTCAGTGAACCGCACTTCGATGCCTACTCAAATTCAAGCTGCTTTCTGCCTGTTTCCTCAGGGTGAGCCTGGGAAGCCAGGTGTACTAGGGAGAGATGGAGTGCCTGGAAAAGAAGGGGAACCTGGACCGCCTGGGAAAATGGTACAGCCTTCAACTTGAGACTGTTCTTTAAACTGTGATTCTGCCTAAGAATGGAAATGACAGTAAGACATGATGTTACGTGATCTTGCCTCACCCACACAGCCAAAGGCTTAGTTTCCAAAAGACCTTACTTTTGTGACTTCTTATATTGGTGGGTTTTAAATATCTGCATAGTATGTGCAGACCAGAAGAAAGGTCTTCCAATCCTATGGAGTCAATACACTTCCCCCTGTGATTTTGCATGAGTTGCCATTCAGCTCTCAAAGCAGAGTAACACAATGTCTCATGTAAGGGTGCAGGTTATGTTTATTGACGGGCATGATGGTAGGGATTTAATTTGGATCCAAGGCATGGAGAGGTTTGTCTGAAAATGAAGTAGAGCAGAGATACTTTGCAGTAGAAGAGGCCAACTTTTTCTCTTCTGAGAAGCAGCTACTGCCAAGCATATGACACTCTGTTGCTCTTTGGCTAAATGCCTTCCCCAGGGAGCAAGCACTGTTGAGCACAGAAGGAGATACTTTCAAGTGAATATGCTGAGGATATCACTGTCAGTAGGGGACAGACAACAAAGTATGGTAGACATCATTCCATCACACAAGTAAAGCCTAATTGCCTGTATTCATTGCTTTCAAGGGTGTCCCTGGACCTCTAGGACCTGCTGGCCCCAAAGGGGAACCTGGGGATGCTGGGCCCCCAGGGCAGGTGAGAAACACATCCCTTTCCTTGTCTTTATACTTCAGTCTTCTCTCTTTCATTCATTCTTGGGCCTCTTGGCTTCTGACAGACAGACAGACAGACAGACAGACAGACAGACAGACAGACAGACAGACAGATATACATATACAGTGGTGCCTCGCATTACAACGTTAATTCGTTCCAGCAAAATCGCTGTAGAACAAAAACATTGAAAAGCGAAAATTAAAAAGCCATTGAAACGCATTAAAACCTGGTTAATGCGTTCCAATCAGCTAAGAACTCACCGTCCAGCGAAGATCCTCCATAGGGGCGGCCATGTTCGGGTGCCTGCGCAGCGAAAAATAGCTCCTAAACACAGTGGAGAGCCATTTTGGGCACCCGGTGTCCATTCTGAAAACCCGACAAGCAGCTGTTTTGATCGTCGGGAAGCGAAAATCAGTTCCCGCAACAGGGAACCGATCATCATGCAGCGAAATTCCCCCATTCAAAATGTCATTTTGCGATCGCAAAAAACTCGTAATGCGGATTCGTCCTTAAACGGAGCGCCCGTCTTGCGAGGCACCACTGTATATATGTATGTGGGGACAATGGGAGTTGTCTGTATGGCTACAGCTCCCATTGTCCCCAGCTAACTTAATCATGCTGCTGTTATTTTCACAATATAACATGACTGAGATTGCCAAGTTTAGTTAAGACTGCTGTTTTCATTATTATTTCTAAAGTATCTTGCCTGCTTGCTGCCTTCAAAATCTTTTAAGCTACTCTTTTCATTATTGGAAAGTGCTGAAAGATAGGATAAGGGGGAAACCCCAATGATAATAAAAACATCTTTTATATCATTGTTACTGAATACCTACTAAAGGTCACTGCAGGAGAATCAGTAAAATAAATACCATTTATCTGGTATTTGTATTTTGTGTTAGAATTATTCCTGTATTGCTTCTCATTAGAACAAATTCGGAAAGTGACTTATAGTACGACTTACAGTACTATAAATCAGTTCTAAATGCTCAACAAAAATATTTCCAGACAATTAACAAAGGGAGAAAACCAAAGTGGAAATCATAGAATGGTAAACTTGGAAGGTACCTCCAGATCATCAAACTCAACCTCTGGTTTTAAATAAATCTAAATGTAGAGTTTGTAATAATCAAATATTGAGGCTGACTTGCTGCAGAGGTGAGATCATTTAAGGAAGAGCAGCACTACAGAGGAGATCCACCTCAGTGTCACATCCTAATGGAAATCCATATCTACTGCACAGACAATAGAGCTTCCCCCAAAGATTGTAATGGTGTGGGAGGTTGGTGTATTGGATCTTGTAGATCATTCTAAAATGCCCATGCTGCTAAAGTATTATTATTTCATTATACTGTCATTAACTACTGTATATGCATTCAGTTTTATGTAGAGTCTTACATAAAACAGCAAGCAGTTTTATGTAGAGCCTTTCTAATTCATGTCTTAGTACGGTGGTGCCCCGCTTGACAATTAGCCCGTTAGATGTCAAAATCGCTTAACAATGAGTTTTTGGCAATCACTATAGTGATCTCAAAACAATGATTCCAATGGGTTTTTTTTCGTTTTATGATGATCAGTTCCCTGCTTCGCGAACCATTTGTTCGCATTATGATGATTAAAAACAGCTGATCGTTGGGTTTTCAAAAGGGCTCCCTGCTGTTTTCCAGACCTATTTCCAGAAGACAGCGGTGCAAAATGGAGGATATTTGCTGGACGAGCAGATATTTCCCCCATTGGAATGCATTGACCGGTTTTCAATGCATTTCAATGGGGTTTTTACTTTCGCTTGACGACGATTTCGCTTAACAGCGATTCTAACGGAACTCATTATCGTCATCATGCGGGGCACCACTGTACTATGTTATGTACCTAAATATAATTCTTTGTCTTGGTCTTGGTTCTGCACCTGAGTGAACACTCTCCATGAAACCTTCCAGAGCTCCAGCTTCAAGGCTTCTTTCCCTTGATTTTACAAAGCATACTCCAACCATTTATCTCACTCCTGTTTTGTCCACTGTGGCAATTACATCTATAGCTCACCTGGAGCTAAGAGAATGATTGAAAGTTTCTGTAAATAACCTCTATAATTGTTTGTCCATCCCCTTCATCTGAAAGAGGCCGTGAGGTAATAAGCAGTGAGAATCACTATTCTGAATATCTTTTTACACAATATAATATTCATCCTTTTGTATTTAAACCTTTATTGGGAGAAAATTCAGAATCTGTGTTTGTAAACTGAAAGCTTCTCTTGCATTACTGGCATGATGATACGATCCAGTAGAATAGATTCATTATCAATAATTCCAGCTAGGTCTGGAAGGGGTGATGCATTCCAGTTTCAAAATTTGACATTTTGTACATATAAAGTGCTAAAATAGTTAAAAGAACCTGCAACCCTGAAAAATATGCATTGTGCTCAAAAATGAGGTTTGAATAGCAATGTACTGAATTCCTAAAGGACTCTGCAGGACAATTAGTCAGCTGTCCAAATGCAGCCATTGTCTTTAACAGTAACATTCTTACTCAGCAAGAGACATCCAACCAATCTCCCAAGCCTGGAGACTGCAGACATACTACATGATTTACTGAACTATTTACATATATGCTAAATTCCTTACTTAGCAGACCACACAGTTGGCACGGCACACACCTATATCAGAAGATCACAGGGAGAGCAAGATAAATGTAAAATAAGATTTGCCTCGCAAATTATGAGCACCCTCAAACGATCTATCAGTTGAGCGTGGAATATCAACATTGATAAGAAAACCAAAACAAGAGCAAGAAGATGTAAATATACACAGTCAAACAATGAGCTCACAAGAATGAAGCTAGACAGAGCAACACAACTTCTGATTCTCCCCCCCCCACCCCCGAGGTTTATAAAGGTCTGTAAGGCTCTTAGGAAAGATATCCAGGCATCAGACCTTCTGACTTTACACCTTTTATTCTTGAATTGTAGAAATTACTATCTTTAGAACCTTGCACCCATTTTTAGAAAAAGGTTCCGTAGTAAGTTGTCCACTCATTTAATGTCTCACCTTTTTTAATCCACCTCTTTTCTTCTCTGATTGGTTCTCTGCAGACGGTTGTGGGGCCACCAGGAGTTAAAGGCGAGAAGGTAGGCTGAAATTCTGCTTGGATCAGTGTGGTAAATGCATTCAGTATAATGTGGAGGGATCTGAAACTACAACACAGTATTTTGGGAGCTTTTGGAAACGTGGGAAGAATTATAGAACTAGCTTTAACTTTCTGATTCTTTTTCAGAATTCTATTCCTGCAGGTAGTAGTCCTTTAAAAATAGTAGTGTTTGCAAAAGACTATTTGGATGCTACAGTCTGTCAGGATTGTATTGGTTAGTCACGGATGCTGTAAACTGTGGCCGGTCTCGTTTAAGAGGTGATTACTTAATGACATTCATCCCACAAGTATAAAGCATCCTAGGTAGAAAATCAAGAATATTCTCTATGATATCTGAAACAGAGGAGAGGCAAGCTCAAAAAGAGAAAAGCCTATTGGGAGGATGGCATGCAGGGCTAATAGAATTCGAAGAGGAGCTTCTGCACTATTGAACATCTACATGATCTGTTTTAGGGTGCACCCGGTGATTTCGATGGGGAAGTTCTGGGAAGACCCGTGAGTTGCCTTTCATCTTACTTCCCATTGCTATTTTTCAGATCCCATGCTTCTCATACCAATAGTACTGACCTTTCTGTTTTGCAGGGTCCCAAGGGTGAGCGTGGCATACCAGGCCCTCGAGGAGAGAAGGTGAGAAACAGTCCTCAAGGGGGAAAAAAGCCTTCCCCCCCTTTTTCTTCTGACAGCTGTGGGCTTCCTGGAAACCTCAAGGCTTCAATTTTATTTTCAATGTCAATCCCTTTCAATAACATCTTTTTTACCTGTGCTAGGGAGAACCTGGGGAGCTTGGGGAGCCTGGAGATCCTGGAGAAGATGTAAGTATTTTGGGATGTAAAGTAAAGCCCTTGGCTCAGTCACTTCCTCTCCCAGGACAGCTGGGAGACATCCTGTCCAAGTATTGTGGCCCTGCTTCTGGAAAACGAACCATAGATCATCTGGGAAACATGAAATACAGAGGTGCCTAACCCCATGCCAGTGTTTTGGGATATAACTGGCTAAATAACAATACAGCTGAATAGTGTTCTTGCATCATCACAAACTTGTCTGAAAATATACAGACAGGATAGTTAGTGGCAAATAGAGATTCAAGAACCCGAGCAAGCTTTGCATTGATAAGAATGCACAGCAAGATGAGACAATCTTAGAATGAGATTGCTGTTGTTGTTTTTAATGTTGGGGTTCTTAATTTAGTCTTGTACCCTAGAAATACTGTCTAATAATAAATTCTCATTCCTGATGTCCAGTGTTGCTTTTTAAACATTCTGAAACAAAACCCGGTTCACATTATTTTAAATACTTTCTGCATCAAATGTTTTTAGTAAAATTTAATAAAAATTGTCTTTAAGTCTTTAAATCCATTGCTTTCCATACTCTGTCCATGGGGATATGGTGGCCAATTGCTCTCCATTTGTGTTCTGGTTTTATTTTAGTATTTCACATCTATTTGTTCCCTCCCTTTCTTTATATCAGAACCAGCAATGCATGTAGTACAATTCCTTTTTTCAATTTTTATCTTCTGTTGTTGTTTTTTTCATATTAACAGGGAGCCAAAGGATCAGCTGGGATCAAAGGAGAAAAGGTATGCTTTGGTTTTCATGTATTTTGTGTATGCTTCCGTCCAAATTGGTTGTTTAGTCTCTTGGAAGCACTTTTTTTTAATCCATGTGAATAGCAAGATGTTTGCCTTAGCACAGTATAATATTCTTCCATATTCTTAGCTCTGCCTCATTGCAGGTATCTTCAAATGCAGGCTTCTCCATCTTGATGCTTTCCAGATATATTTGACTGCAAGTCCCACTATCCCCCATCAACGGAGTAGTAGGCACGGGGGTGGTTGGGATTGTGATTTCATATGCCTGCAAGATAATTAGTTAGCCAAGGCAGCATCAGTGGGAAGAAATTCAGCAGCAGTCAGGAACGTGCCCACAACTGAGCACTGAAAGCATCCCTTCATCCTAGAGAGCGCTAGGCCCTATCTGAGTGTCTTTGCTAGTTAGTGAGCTCTCCAGGAGCAAACTGGATTGTATAACATATTTTATGTATCTAGTAACAACCAGTGGGACTCTCAGTCTGTGCAGTCTTTTGAGAAATAAAGTACGTACTAGATTGTATTCACAATTTGTTGGTGTTGTTATGTTTCTGTCAAGTCAGAACTAACTTAAGTGAACCTTTTAGGGCTTTCAAGATAAGTGAAATATTGAAGGAGTGGCTATACCAGTTCCACACACCTAGTGAGCTTCCATGGCTAAGCAGGCATTCGAACTCAGGTGTCCTGAGTCCTAGGACATCACTCTATCCACTCTACCACACTATACATGATGCCACTTATTGTTCCTTCACTTCTATATAGGGTTCACCTGGGATTGGCCTCCAGGGACCTCCAGGACAGACTGGACCACCAGGTTTGAAGGTAATTGTTTCTATTCATCAAGCCACACTTGGTGTGCCACCTTTTAGAAATTTTCATGTTCTTCTAATCTTACTCACTCCTTTGCACAGGTTTATTTCCTGATATCTAAACTTATTTATGTTGTTTCTGCAATGCTGTTTGTGGACAGGTCCTGCTGAACACAGCTCATAATTCTTGTTAGAGTTTGCAAATCAGACATAGGGTGGGTGAGTGGTGATATCAAATTAACAGTTGTGATACACACTCAAATATGTGGTTGAGATTGTTTTTCAGTGCTCTACTGAAGTTGTTCACTTCTGGTCAAAAACAGTTTTAACATTTCTTATTTGTTTGAACTTTGTATTTCATATACACCACCACTAGGCAGCACTCTGAAAGGAATGAAGGGAAAAAGTAGATAGAAACCAACTGCTTTGCAGCTTTGATTGAGCACTCCAACACTGGAGGCGTTCTGTGAGATCTGCTTTCAGTTTAGATTCCTACATTGAGTGGGGGGTTGGACTCAACGGGCTTGTACCCCGCCTTCCAACTCAATAATTCTATGATTGTTTCATGAATTCTATGTAGTTCTCAAATGTCTGTGGATGAAGTGAAGAGGGTACAGTCATCTGCATTCCTAGTTTCCAGGACTGACACAATGTCTTTGGCTTCTTTTCAGGGAGATCCTGGTTTGCCAGGTCCACCTGGACCCCCAGGTTTGCCAGGTGTGAATGGGAGTCCAGGCCAACCAGGACTGAGAGGAGAGAATGGATTAATTGGCCAACCAGGACCTCCAGGAGAGAGGGTAAGGGAGATAACACCATCAGCTTTCAAACTTCCCTGTCCTACCCTAGCTTCTTTTGTTGAGAAAATAAAACAATGATGGGCTTCAGGAACCAAGCCAAACTGCTCCATTATCTCAGTGTATCACTGGTCCACAGCTAAGTATAATTGTCTTGAGAGATGCTTTGTCACGGTACCCCATTGGTGCTGATTCTAGTGCTCTCTATAATGATGAGTGATGGCCTAATTCATTTGGACTTATTTTGTTTCACCTTCTCCCATTTTTTCTCATTTTAACTACCTTTGAGCAGACCTTCTTCAGGAGCTATATATAAAAATAAATTAGTTTGTGAACACCAAGCTCAAGACAACTATAACTGTCTATAACTAGTGCTCATCTTAATATCCATATAGACATATCCATACAGATAGTATTGTATCAATGAATATGCATTCAAACTTCCACAGCATGATCTATAAACCTCTAATAGTCATGATCAGCCAATATGAATTGATAACAACGTTTGTGACACATACCAAAATTTTAGAAATAAAATAGATCAATAGCTGAAGCTGGTACAGACTGAATGAGCTATTGACATTTTGTCTCTGCTTTCTGTGAAGAGACATATCATTCCTATCCCAGAGAAATAAAGGCTTTAGCCAGGGACCCTGTACCTCAAGCCCATGGTACAAATTTGGACCTCTCCGTGTATCAGTTTTAAGCTCCAGACTCTCCCCGTGCTTTATCACCTCAGTAGTGCATTTCTGAATTACTGATAATATTTACTGCATCCTGTTTTCTCCCCTGGTGGAGGGAACCTTGCAGAACTTGGGGAAGGAAGATATCAAATACCAATGTATTCCCCTCCTCCCAAAAGAAGAAAGGTGAGAGTCACATCCGTAAATCCCTCCAGGTTTGACACTTATCTCCCCACTCTCCTTAGTCTGTGGCTGTGCCCACCAGTGGAATACAGAGGTAATGTGCTCCCCACAACCCCAGCCTATGCCTCTAGACTGAGATTTTTTTTCCTTTGCCAGGGTCTGATTGGCTTCCCTGGAAGAGATGGCACTGCAGGATCTCCAGGACCACTGGGACCACCGGGACCAGCAGTAAGTGCTTGGGGACTTGCAATGTAGTGATGACTTGCACATGACAAGCTATAGTTTGCTCTCCTGGGACTTGCAATGTAGTGATGACTTGCACACTAGTTAGTTATAGTTTGCTCTCCCGTCTGTCTCAGTGTTACCTATGTGCATTCTTCTGTTGGCGTTGGGATAGTAATCTGTTTTTCTCTCTTGCTTTGGCTCTTTCCACTCATCACCTCTTTATTTTAGGGAGCACCAGGAATCCCAGGACTGAAAGGTGACAAGGTAAGACCTGTTTGTCCTCCACCAGGGGCTTGAAGATTTAATGGGGAAATAGATGTGGTCTTCAAGTCTGCTTACTCTTTCAATTTTTTTGTATGGTGTGGTCTTTTCCAATGCTGTTAGTACTCATGAATCTTAATGCCCAGAACTATTCATAAAATTTGGTGGAATCTGGCAACCTAATATGCAAAGAATCTCCACTTTCATTGTTAAGAAAGGAAGTTGTAGTTCTTATTATTTAGATACTTCTTGCAGAAAGTTGGTTTGTACCAAAGACCAGAAAATATAAAGAAAGACAAGATGAGACAAGTACTGTAATTGATATCCTAAAGTGAAACTCCTATATTTTTATTATGAGATGAATTGTAAATAGAACACAATCTAAACACATAATTACATGTGTGTGTTATGTGTGGTCAGTTTGCTTTCAACTAAGGGCAACTTTATGAATGAATGATTTCCAACAGGTTCTGTCATAAAAAGGTCTTACAAACCAAAACTGTCTAGCAAAGACAGATGATAATCCCAAGATGTAAAAAAGGTATCAGTATTTTTATTCAAAGATCGGCCAATACACTTTCTGCCTTCTTCAGGGGATATAATGTAACTGATAAAACAGAAAAAGCATATATGTGAGCTTCTTACTTACAAGGGACAACTATGTAAAAACATAGAATGTGGCCATATCATGTATTTGCCAACTGGAATACATTCTATTTTTCCCTATGCCATCTTAATTGTAGGCTCTTGTTGTGAGTGTAGGCTCTTTTTGTGATACAGTGGACCCTTGACTTACAGACGGCTTGACTTACAGACTTTTTGAGTTACAGACTTCTCTGGCCGCAAAATTTAGGTTTGACTTGCAGCCTGAGAATTGACTTACAGACCGGAAAAAAACCAAAAGGGACAACTATGTAAAAACATAGAATGTGCCCATGTCATGTATATGCCATCTTAATTGTAGGCCATCTTAATTGTAGGCTCTTGTCATGAGTGTATGTTTTTGTGATATTGGTCCTTGCGGGCTTTCCCCTAAAACGGCCTGTTATGGGATTAATCGGTTTTCAATGCACTGTAGGTCAATGGAGACTTGACCTACAGACTTTTTGACTTGAGAACCGCCTTCCAATATGGATTAAGTTCTCAAGTCAAGACCCCACTGTATTGGTCCTTGTGGGCTTTTCCCCCCCTTGGAAAACCTCATTGTGACTGAGAACCATGAAATGAATGAAAGGTTTTGCTGAGTCTCTGTATCTTAAATTCACTGAGGAAATAAAACAATACCCTTCAATCTCATTCTTACTTTTTTAGGGGAACACAGGTGCTGGATTGCCAGGTGCTAGAGGAGAGCGAGGAGAGCCCGGGCCTCGGGTATGAATTCTTGATTCTCCTGCCCAGCTACAGGACAGAATTCACTGCAATCCGTAGGGTGACATCAGCTCTTTTCAATGTTAGGCATTTTAATTTTCTCACCAACCATCAGGGATTTAGTTGGGATTTAGTTGCTGACTGTATGGACATTTGCATGATTTGAAGGAGAAAGCCTTCATATTTTTCTCTTTTATACTCCCACGAAGGAGGAGGGGATGTGAAGATCTGAGGATTTTGCATCCCCAGTTTGCTTTTTTAATATATAGGATATGCTTCTGCAGCCTGGTACAACCCAGATACATTCAACTACAACGCGCAACCTCACAAACTAATGATCAAGGTGACTCCAATGATGGGGTTGTAGCCCAATATATCTGAATGGCAAAAGGTTGGAGAATGTGCTGTAGAATAAGCCATTAACAAAACAGGCAGGAACAAAATTTGAAGGTCTGTTTGGCTTACCTTTGATAGTACCTCTTTGGAATGTGCCTGCTTGCTTGCCTGGCACTCAAGACATCTAACAATAATGTCATTTAAAAAGAAGGTCCTAATTAGAGTATAAGGAAAAAGTTTCCTGAATATATTTCAAGTTTCCTGAATGAAACTGTCTGTCTGGTGGATCTTGTGAGAGATTCTCACTTTCAGTTCAGCTGATAATATACAGTAATCCCCCCACACACGCACGCACGCACCCTGCCCCCGGTATTTTCTCCTTTGGTGCACCTAAACAATGTCCTCTCTTTCCATGTGCCTGCAGGGTGAAGATGGGCGTCCCGGGTTGGAGGGAGATCGTGGTCCTGCGGTAAATATCTGATTCTTCCAGATTTATTTATTTCTTCATACCTGAACATAAAGACCGGTCACTATTCTTAAGCAATCTCTACTTTGTTTTGTCTTTAGGGGCCTCCAGGAAACCGAGGGGAGAGAGGGGATAAAGTAAGTCAAGCATTGGCAGTGAGAAGGATGGAGAATTCATAAGGAGAAAAGGAAGAAGGAAGGCTTTCTTCACGATGACCTTGAAAATTAAAATATTGGCTGTCCAGTAACTGGCTGAGGGATCGTGAGAAAGTCAGCTAAATCAAGCATTTTGCTGAATTTCTGTATGATGGGCCAAGATCCTGCCTCTCTGGAAACCTTTAATTATTGGCAAAAGGAAACACTTTTTGGAAAGACTGAGAGCCGGTCTCTAAAGTACATTGAATTATTTCAAGTTGCTATTTCAACCCTGTTTCTATTTTATCAAATAATTAGGCCATAATGAAATCCCATTGTTTCACAAGATAATCAGAGTAATCTGGCTCCCTAAGAATGGAGGCCTTTGTCCTATCAGATCCTTGTGGCAAGAGTCTGCCTTTGTATGTTAATTTATAAAGTGCTATGGATTAGAAATATTAGGAATAATAATGACAAAGTCCTCCAAATATGTGTGCAGGCAGTCTAATCTGAGGCATTTGGGTACATAATAATCTGAAAGACACAGTAATCCTCAAACCTATGAATTCTACTTATTTCTAATCTGTGCTTCCTTCTCTCCTAGGGGGACATTGGATCTATGGGGCCAAAGGGAGATAAAGTGAGTATAGCCTCAGTAGTAAGGTGGTGATCATTAATGTGTAGTCTTGAAATGACAATCTGCTTGATACCTGGGGAGTTCTCAGGCAAGTCTTCAAAGTGAGGCAGGAGAAGTGTCTTCCTCTTTGCTGATCTGTTTTTGAAAACAGGATTTTTCCTTTGGATGCATATTTGCTTTGAGAAAGAGGTCATTACTTGAAGAGTCTCAAAGTGAGGCAGGAGAAGTGTCTTCCTCCTTGCTGAGCTGTTTTTGAAAACAGGATTTCCAGGCCACATCCAAATAACTTGCAGTCTTTGGTTATACTGAGCCAAGATGCAAAAGGGCTGTATTTCAGTGGTAGAGCAAATGCTTTGAATGCAAAAGGTCTCTGCTTCCATCCACCTGCAGATAGTGCTGGGAAAGGCCTCTTGTCTCAAACCCTGGAGAGCTTGTCATGAGCTAGATGGGCTAACAGTCTAATTCAGAATAAGGCAGCTCCCCATGTTCAGATTATTCTCATCCCCTGGAAGAGCAATTCTCCAGTCGTGATGCAACTGAGAGCTTGCCTTGGGACAGGTTCATATCTTGCCTTCTCTTATCGAAAAGCTTCTGTTACTGAATATATGAAAATTAAATTAGGTCAGGGTTCCAATAGATGTGAAGTCTCCAGATGACTAGAATACTTTGATCTCTGTTCTCTCCATTTCAGGGTGATACTGCCATGGTGGAGGGCCCGCCAGGTGCTCGGGGGAACAAAGGGGAGCCTGTAAGTGTTCCAGCCAGCTGCATAAGAACTTCTGGCCTTGAAAGTTTCAATCTGCACTCTTTACAAATATTTTGCTTCTCGTGTTCACCTGAACACCAGTATCCTAACTTTTTTCTGATTCCACCACCAGCGATTTAGTGATTTTTCTTCTCTTATGCCTTTCCAGGGAGAACGTGGCCTAAAAGGGATGGAGGGGGAGAAAGGTGACAAAGGAGAACAGGGCATCCCTGGAGAGAAGGTAACGGAGCAAATTCATGGGCCGTTGCTTACTAGTCTGGTGTGGGGAAATTTGGATTCAGTGTATATTGTGTGCCTGTGTCTGAAGGCAGTAAAAAAACCGGATGCAGTTCTGGTGTTTGGGTTGGGTTTTTTTCCCCTGTGTTTAAGGTGCTATCTCAGAACAAGGTCTCGATTTTTTTGTTTTAATTGCCTGCAGTGCATTCCTACAACATCAGGCACCAAAAAGTGAGAATAATAGGACAGGGGGCGAAATCTGCATTCTGCATATATAGCAAGTATAGGACCAGTCACAGGCAGAAAGGCCTTTTGATCGAAATTATGTCAGGACCCCTTCACGGATTGCTGCCTTGCTGTGGCGAATGGGCTTGAGTAATTCAGAGAAGCTATGGGCTATACCGTGCAGGGACACCCAAGACGGACAGGTCATAGTAAAGAGTGCAGGGACACCCAAGACGGACAGGTCATAGTGAAGAGTTCTGACTAAACATGATCCACCTGGAGCAGGAACTGGCAAGCCACTCCAGTATCTTTGCCAAGAAAACTCCATGGACAGAAACAAAATACTAAAAGATATGACGCTGGAAGATGAGCCCCTCAGGTCGGAAGGTGTCCAACATGCTACTGAGGAAGAGTAGAGGACAAGTACAAGTAGGTCCAGAGCTAATGAAGCGGTTGGACCAAAGCCGAAAGGATACTCAGCTGCGGACGCGCCTGGAAGTGAAAGGAAAGTCTGATGCTGCAAAGGAAAATACTGCATAGGAACCTGGAATG